ATGTCGTCTTCGCAAATCTTTATATGGCCTAAAACAGTCTCCTAGGGCCTGGTTTGGCAAATTTAGCGACGTTGTTCAACAATTTGGCATGACTAGAAGTGAGGCGAGACCACTCGGTCTTTTACCGTCACTCGAATGCTTGGATGTATCTATTTGATAGTGTATGTCGATGACATTGTTCTTACAGGTAGTGACCATCATGGCATCTCTCGGATGAAACAACACCTTTGCCACCATTTTCAAACCAAAGATCTTGGCAAACTCGGATATTTCTTGGGTATTGAGGTAGCACAATCTACCGATGGCATTGTTATATCTCAAAGAAAGTATGCATTGGATATTTTGGAGGAAGCTGGGTTGATGAATTCAAAGTCTGTTGACACACCAATGGATCCTAATACCAAACTCTTGCCAAATCGGGGGAGCCAATGTCGGATCCTGAACGAGTATAGAAGATTAGTTGGAAAATTAAATTATCTTACAGTTAGTCGCCCGACATTTCCTTTGCGATCAGTGTGGTGAGTCAATTCCTCAATTCTCCTTGTCAAGATCATTGGAATGCGGTCATCCGTATATTGAAGTACATCAAAAAGTCTCCTGGAAAAGGTTTGGTATATGACTCCCATAATCATACAAGAGTTGTCTGCTATTCGGATGTCGATTGGGCGGGATCTCCCTCGATAGAAGATCTACATCTGGGTATTGTGTTTCCATTGGTGGTAACTTGATCTCATGGAAAAGTAAGAAACAAAGTGTTGTGGCAAGATCCAGTGCGTAAGCGAGTATAGAGCTATGGCCTCAGCTACCTGTGAACTTATTTGGCTCAAGCAATTGCTTAAAGAGCTACAATTTGGAGATGTCACTCAAATGACACTAGTGTGTGACAATCAGGCTGCTCTCCATATAAGCTCTAATCCTGTCTTTCATGAGAGGACTAAACACATTGAGATTGACTGTCATTTTATTCGGGAAAAGATTATGTCTGGAGACATCAAGACTGAGTTCGTTAACTCATGTGATCAATTAGCAGATATTTTCACTAAGTCTTTACGGGGACCTAGGATGGATTATCTTTGTACCAAGCTAGGCACATACGATTTGTATGCTCCAGCTTGAGGGAGAGTGTTAGATATGATTAGATATTAGTTGATATTGTTTGATATTGTTGAAATATTGTTAGATATTGTTAATCACAATATCAAATAATATCTTTTATTTACCCTATTTGTATTCTGTTACTCTTTTGAGGAGTACCTTTCTTTATTATAAATACACTGTCCTATGTGTGGTAAACACATAAGGGAAATTAACTCTATACAGTTTTTCCCTATATTCAACAACACTCAACCTCAGATCCATTAAGAGATTTCATAAGAATCAACCCACGACACTTTAGCCTTCCATGTGGAAGATAACGCAATACAAAAAATAAAAATAAAACAACGAAGAGATGAGTGAGATGAGATAAAATGAGATGTTAGATGATAGATGATCCTAAAGGGCACCTTGTTGTTCTTGTTTATAGCAGTAGTGGATGGGCTTTAGCTGCTTGCTTCAGATGGTGTTTATTTTTGTTACTGATTTTAGCCATGTATTCTGTTAGCGGTTTTATAGCGACTTCTTTAGTTGAAAATCTTTATATTTGTTACTGAATATTGTTTTTCTAAATCAAAATATTCCTAAAATATTGCTCACAATAATAATCAAACCAACAATTGTCATGCATAGAAAGCCCATGTCCAATGAAACACAGGACAAATCAGTCTTGTATCTTCTATAGACGAATTATGAGCTTCTTTTTACTACAACTGTACAAATATACATTAGAATATTTAAAAAGCCAATTTTAGTATGTTCTCTCGTTCAAAGCTTATTTAACCTCATTTGAACAAATCCTAGTTAAAACAGTGTATTTAAAGATAATTCAAAGATAATTTGAGTAAAAAAAAAAAAAGTTAAGACTAAACTATGAGCACATAAGTCAAGCTTGCTTATATCAAGGTCTGCACATAATATTAAAAGCACTAAGTCAAATTCAAGCACATTTTTCCCCTCAATGAAGTTTTCTTTTCCATATAGAATAGAACAAGGGAGGCTTTCTGCAAAAGCACTCACCCTGCTTTCTGCCCGTTAACATTTCATAGAAAAACTATAGGAATAAAATTATTAACAAAGAATAAAAAAAATTAGGGGTGAACAAGTCATTAACTAAGCTGAAATATTGCAAAATTGAACCAAATTCTACAAGTGGTTTGAGTGAACTGACCTGAATTATATAATTGTCAAATGAACTAAACAGAACTAATTAGTGTTATATTTTTGTAATGGTCAATATTGTTGCATATATGTAGCCCGAGATGTTGGAATTCCTACTGAATAGATTTAAAATTTCAATAATATTTAAAATGTTAGTCGTAGGATTTCCAAGGCTTTTAATTTGAATATTTTTCAGCTTTGTTTAAGTTTAATGTTTATCCTTTGTGTCTATAAAAACACAAAAAATAGAGACCAAAAGTTTCAAGAGGAATAAAGCAAATCAAGGTATTTTCATGATATTTGTACTTGACATTGCTGTCTTTGGAGTTACCTAGGATTTGGAGATTGTTGGGAATATCTGTTATTACTAGTAGTACATTTGTACGGGCAGGGAAAAACATAGAAAGTGCCTATAGGATTGGTTGTGAAAGACATACATGATAGTTGTAAACTCTTGGAGAAATTAAGTGTTTTAAAAATTTTATTAAAATTATTGTACAACTATGTTTATGATGTCCAGCATCTTACATTCAAATGCAATGCACCAAAAACTGATTACCATTATCATTGAATCATTATCATTGAATCTAGTTGCTAACAAATTCACCAAACCATACTTGACATGCTAACACAAGAAGCACTACCACAATTTAAGAGAACAAAAATACATGTCACTCATTTACACTCTAAACATGCTTGTATTCAATATGTGTGATCTATGATCAGCTAAATGATAAAGGGGCAAAAGAATAAACTTAAAAAAGAAATTGGACAAAATACATCAATAACACATAGAATATTATAATTAGTTGCACTTAAGCATGTTACATATTCTCATGAACTATAACAGAAAGTAATCCAAAATTACCTCAGTGGTGGGGTTCCACTTTAAGTGAATCACAATCTTACTCTGGAAATGACAAAAAATATAACATGAAAACATTGAAATTTGATCAGAAAGTGAAATTGACAATCTATTCCAAGCTGTAAACTGGTATATTAATCATGGGATGGAAGACATTTGTTACTTCAAACTCATTTACTAAAGAAAGACATGTGAGCAGCAGAGGCATTAAGTTTAAGAGTTTGTTTAGACACAAAAGTAAGAAGTGATTTTTAGAGTTTTATTGGAAAAAGTCCTATATTAATTTCCTGTCAAAAAAAAACCCTAAAATGAACAATGAATCTAACTGGTATCCAAACAGAGCCTAATTCCATAATATTAATAATGAGCACAAAAATCAAAATTGCACCTACCTAACACTATATGATAATCATAAATTATAAATAAAATAAAATAGAGTTGAAATTAAAATTTTTATCACCACACCCATATCTAGTAAAAGGGGACACAGGGAATACATACATATGTGAAAGGGGAGAGAATCATCAGATCAAAGAGTAAGATCAGACACCAACCGACTACCGATAAATGCCACCTCTTTGGATAAGATTATCCAACACCGCCTACAAAGAAGAATTAAAAATACTAAAAAATCAATTATGAAACAAACAATTTCATGGAAATCGACTCTATGTTTATAGAATCGCAATAACATGGATATAATCAAGCTAAGATCACCTTTATCCCCAGTGAAAATTGAGAACCCTAAGTCGCTCATCTCCTGTTTCCTTCAATAACAAAATCCAAAAAGTTTTGTCTCGCTATCATCAAAACCAAAACCCTAAACCGATTCTCTACCATTCTCTTCAATGAAAGCCACTCCCCTATTGGCAATACAAATGTACATGACTGCGAAGATTGGTAAAGGTAGGTGGCAGATAAACTGTAAGGAGTATAGCTGCAGAGATGAGGACAGAGAGAAATTGTGAGATCGAGGGAGTAAGGCACATGGCAAATGAGGAGAAATAAGGCGTAGTACTTGGCCCAAAATAACCAATTCCAAGTTGGTTGATTTCGTGGGGTCCAAAAGCATATATATATATATATATATATATATATATATATATATATATATATATATATATATATATATATATATATATATGTAGCACTAGCAGGAGAGTGTGGGGAATGAAAAAGTGTAATGTCCTTCTCTTTCTTGACATTCTCTGTATTGTCTACAAATTGTTTCATTAGGTTTGAATATTTCTTGTTTTCAACAAATGTTTTCGTAGATAAACAAGAAAAGTTTTTGTAATTAGTTGTCTTATCTCTCTTTACGTTTCTATCTTGTTACACAAACCTGAAGGTAGATGGGAGACAAACGTGTGAAAGCCAAACGTGCACGACTGCAGATGGTCCATTATCAGTTATGGTGGGTTCGCGTGTCCCAAAAGATGAGGGATTGATTGTGGTCCCTTTTTCTCGCATTTTTTGTTATCATGGCTATGATTCTCGACATTGTAGTAGTGTGTTGATGGCACGTATTCCCTTGACGACTGGGCTTAGCATCTTGGGTTGTTGAACTAGGAGCAAGAATATAGGTTAAATAATGGGTCTACATATTGGACCCGCATATCGAACCTGTTCGTTAGTGTCCGCATCTTAAGGAAAGACCAAGATAGGAAATGACCTGTCAGGGGAAAATAGTGTTTATCCAACCCTAATTACGGTGACGATATTGCTGTCCTAAAACTTTGCAATTGCAACAGTCCGCTATTAAGATGTAAATTTAATCACATGAAATTCAGCGATGATACTTCAACTAAGTTATATTTCAGTTAAAAAATACAATGATGATGCAGAACCACATTTCAATCTCTTTAAAACTACATGACAATCACAATTTAGAAGCATGTTTCTCTATATCGTCATAGAATAGCTTCTTCAACGCATCTATGTACGATGCCTGCAAACAAACAGCTACAACGAACCCATCACCACTTGCAGTGTCCAAAATGAAAGCCTTACCATTAGATTTAATATTCCCGGGAAGCAAACAAACCGGTTTCCCCCATCCGAAATCCGTTGCAAAAGAAGCAAAATTGGTCCAACCAACGACATACAAATTAGGGTCTTCCTTATCTTTCCCACCGGAGTTGTAAAACGTGTCCCTGAACAAATCCATGTCCTCCACACATGCTATATAATCAAGAGCAGACCTCACATACTCATCACGCATTCTCTCAATCGCTTCCCTCACTTTCCCCACAGCATAGCCAAGAGGTTTCTGCATAATGTCATCAAAGGAACAAGTTTCTGTCACAGTAGGAAACGTTGCATTGCCAAAATAAGCAGTGGGGAGAGATGGTCTCAAACGGTTTCTACAATTAACCAAAGTGGTCAACCTCGTTGGTTGACGCATATCACCTGAATAACGCACCTTGCAAACACACCTCCACAAGTGACCACTTAGGACCTCAAAGCTAGTATAACCTCGTATGGGACCCTTACCGTACCCACTTCCAAAGTCGCACGCTTTATACTTCAGTTTACGAACCTGTCCTTTTGTGATTACCAACATGGCCGTACCAAGTTCTTGCTGCATCAACTCATCACGTTGTGTCCAACTGGGTGGTGGTAGAAACTCGGGGTGTCCAAACCGCGGTGGCTTATTCAGTTTGAACGAATCTAGTTTCGTTCGACCAAGCAAAGGAATCAAACCAGAATCTAAACTCTCTCCTCTGGCGAGTTTGGCCCAGGAATTAACGAAACCCGAAACTGAAGTTCCGTCGACGATAGCGCGACACAGAGCAAGTCCAAGTGTGACGAAACCACACGGGAACCTCGTGACCTGCGCCACCAGCAAGGGAACTTCCTCAATCGGGACATCGTAGTTGATCTTCGGGACAGCGTAGGTGGGAGCGAACTCGAACAAATCTTCAAAACTTAGTTCAGTGTAGCATGAGGCTGCTACGAGGACTGCCCCTTTGGCGTTGCAGAGAAGCTGGAAGCGGCCACCGTGGATCCGGCTCAAGCTACCGGCGAAGGGGTGGAAGAGAGAGAGGGTTTTGCTGAGAGAGGTTGAGAGAGTGTGGATCATAGAAGCGAATGATGAATCATCGGTGATGCGTGTGTTGGCGTAGATATAGAGCTCAGATCCGTGGTTGGGAAGCTTGATTTGGTCGCAAAGGGAGAGTGAGAGGTTTGAAGATGGCGTGACCTCAGAGGGGAGAACAACGACGGAGCTGTGGATGGTAACCATTCTTTTTTTGCTGATTCCTGATATGTTCGATCAGTGTCTGTTTTGGTGGAGTATAAACCTACCGACTTATATTTATACATATTTATTATTTATTTTATTTTATTTTATTTTCTCAAGACATCTCTCTTTACTTTTTTTTTCAGTTTGTTTTTTAATTTTATTCATCACTTATATTTTTAAAATAAATCAAAAATTAAATAAATTTTAATAAAATTTATGTTTCAAGATAATACTCCAAATAATAATTATAATATATACATTCATTTAGTAGATCATATTTACACACGTTTGGATTGATTTAAAATTGTATAATTCTTTATATTCTAATTTTTTGTTCTTATTTCTCTTTTATTCTTATTGATTTCTTCTACTTATATGTTTCCTTTTTTACTTTTCTTTTTCCTTTTTTTAATATTTCTTCACAAATAGTTCAAAATAAAAAATTAATTAATTGAAATGACGATTGTAAAAGTTGTGCATTACAAACAAAGCGATTAAAGTGAAAAACGAAAAGTGATCCTACTAGATACGCGTGAGCAATTGAAGCTGAGAGTGAAAGGAAATACAGAGGAAATTGCAAAATGTGAATAGAAAACTGAATAATTGCAAAGTGACAATAAAAAATGGACTTTAACGAAAGAAGGAGTCAAAGTGTTTTGTTCCAATTACAAATTACAAATGCAGTTTGGACAAGTTGTTTATGAAAATAGAACTAAAATCTTGCACACCCATTTAAAATATGAACATTCTTCTTCTTCCTTTTTTTTCACTTATACTTTCTTTTTCTTTTTCATATCTCTCTAAGTAACCCAAAATTAAATAAATAATAGTTCATTAATTAATTTAACTAAAAGTCCAATTAATTAATTATTTCGATTTTTAATTAATTAAAATAACTTTATAAAAAAACTAACATTTTAATCGATCAAAAATGCTTTAATTAATTAAAAAAATATTTAAAAAATTAGTTAAGTGCACTCATTTATTTTAACTGATAAAAAATAGTTTAATTGATTAAAACAAAAATCCTTAAAAAATAATATATGTATAGAGGTTCATTTTAACACATTAAATTCAAATTTTACCTTAGTATAAATTTCATCAAATAATCCAAAAAAATTTAATCCATTAAAATACATTTTAACTATATAGGCCAACGAGCTTAAAAAACAAATGAAAATAGATAAGAACATTTTAACTAATAATTTTTTAATTAATAGAATAACTTTCTAAACTTGACTTTCTTCAAAAAAATGGTCGATGATGAGTCTCTAAGTTTTCTTGGGAAGAGAAAGGTCATCCCTAACAGGATCATTAGAAGCATGACTAGAAGGAAAATCTCATCTTCATCCTTATCCTTTAACTTCGTTAGCATTTTTCCTTTTATTTATTTTTTTAGACTCATGTTTAATCTTGTATTTATAAGACTACTTTATAATACCTCTCTTTTGAAGTCCACCACCCTTTTTTGGAGAAAATGAGTCTTGGACCCAAAATTGGAGCATGGGACGACCCATAAGAGAAGAGGAGGTCAACCTTTAACCTCCAGTGTGAGAAAGACCACAACCTTGGTAAGAATAAGAGGGAGTCGCCCCTTTCTAGGGTTTCTTTAGGGCAACACAAGCTTCTAGAATCTCTATTGTATTTCCCTCCATGTCCCTCACTCATACCTATATATAGAAGACTCTCCACCTCTCGTAAATAATTATAAATTCAATGAAAGTTTGAGAGTTATTCACTTTGAGTGTTATTCTCTCTTGAGTCTTATCTTGAACCTTGGTTCAAGTGACAATAATCACTACTCATTTTGGGTTGGTTCATCTGTCATGACCCTTTTTTTATATATAAGGAATCTGACATGCGTTAGATATGCGGAAAATAGATTTTTTTTCTTGAGAGAACAATTTTTTTTTCTGAATAATACAATTTCATTCATTCATTAAAACATATATATATATATATATATATATATATATATATAATCAAGTACAATACATCAATCCTTCAAATACAAATAAGTACAAAGCCAAGTTTTTCAAAATACAATAAGGCTCATGTTCATTCTCCTATCTATGGGGAGTGAGTTATGTGCCCAAACTTTCCCCCACCCTTAGTTCCTCCTAGCTTACCCATCCCCTTGGGTAACCACGGCTCCACTTGTATCACCTGCTCCCGTACCAAGTACGATCACAGCAGAACACATCACAAAGAAATGCAAGGGTAAGCTAAAATCAACATTTATAATTCACAACTCTAATGATAGAGTATAATCAGACACTAATATAAATATTTAATTCATTCTCTTAGGCGACATCTGGCATATAGTCTCGCCTTCAGGGAAACATCTGGCACACAACACAACCGTTTCTAAGGAAACCACTTGACACATAGCCGAGTCCTCAATTAGCATAATTATCTGACCCTCAAAGTCTGGTTTGCATATCTTAGGCATACAGTCTCAATTAGCAAAATCATCTGACCCCTGAAGTCTGGTTTGCATATCCTAGGCATACAGTCTCAATTAGCAAAATCATCTGACCACCAAAGTCTGGTTTGCATATCTCAGGCATACAGTCTCAATTACACACAGTTCATAACCATACAACCAATCATAATTCAAGCACACATCAATATTTCTCAAAGCACTCAGCTTCACATGACACACAGTCCCACATTGCACTTTCACATTATACAATTGTTCATTAGCATATAGCATTCTCATACACATTGTCACACTAATTCCATTTACTCATAATTAGCACTAAGCATATCACATAACACTATTCATCACAATCATCCAATACACAACACTCACCCATTCAATTATCCTTGCACCAATCATCACAAATAGGCATGGCAACGGGCGGGGTGGGGCGGGTTTTGCCTCCCCGATCCCCGTTCCCGACTCTTTTAACAATCCCCGTCCTCGCCCCCGATCCTCATCGGGGTTAAAAATTAAGTCTCCATCCCCGTCCCGCTGGGTTTCGGGTTCCCGCCCCGCCCAGTCCCCGATCTATATTATTTTTAAAAGAAGAATTACATTTATAATAAATTAAATTTATTATGTATTTTTTATATATAAATAAATATTTATAATTTTATAATTTATAATTATTATTAATTAAATATATATTTTAATTTATTATATTTATATTAAAATATGTATGAAAAAAATATTTAAATATTTTTTATTTATATATATAGGGAGAATATTTATAACATTATTATTATTATTATTATTATTATTATATTCAAATATTTGAATACTTATAACATTATTATTATAATATTGTATTCAAACATTTAATTATATATATAAGTTAATTCATTTTTAAGTTATCATTTAAAAATATAAAATTTATAATTTATAAGAAAATATTTAATAAATTAATTCTTATTTAATTAGTTCGAAGTAATAAAAGTTTAAATTATCAATTTCTTTTCATTCTTTAAAATACAATTATTTTATTAAGATAAAATTTGATATATGATAAATAAGAATAATAAGATAAAAAAATATGACATAATAAAAACTAATAAATATAAATTATAAATAAAATAATATTAGTTATTACTAGGATTTATGTGAAATATTTAAAAAATATAAAAAAAATATTTTGTGTTCATCAAATTGATTGAAAATATTAAAAAAAATTGATGGGAGAAATTAAGGAAATGTAAAAAACAGAAAGGTAAGAGAGAACAATATAATAAACTAATTGATATAAAAGATTAAAAAAGACAAAAAAATTAAAAGTGGGTAGAAAAAAAATAAAAATTGGTGAAATATAAAAAAATAACCTTATATGTAATAGAAAAAGAAAAAAATATACATTTAAAGTATTAATATTTTAAATTTTAAATTTAAATATAGAGTCGGGCGGGGCGGGCGGGCGGGGCGGGGTGGGGATTGCATTACCCATCCCTGCCCCCCGACTTTTTAAAGCGGGGAAAACCCGAACCTGCCCCTGGTCAACTCGGGTTTTCCCCGTCAAACTCGGGGCGGGTCGGTCCCCACGGGTACGGGTTTAATTGTCATCCCTAATCACAAAGAAGTTAGGACAAGCTCCCCTTACCTGGTACGTCCACGTTTATTTTCTCCAAAGCTTGAGACTGATTTCCTATTAGCAAACATGAATAAGGTTCAGTGTTTTTAGCATAACTCAACCTATACTCAATATTTTGACATGAGACTAGTTTCTAACTTCCAAGGACTCATTTATATACATCTTTGATGAAGAAAATAAATTCAAATACCCTATAGAATAAATGCATTTTTCAGTTTACAGTGGTTGTTTTCAACAGGGCTCAACTACATTAACACTTTGAACATGCCTTGGTATTTTGACTATAACTCATGTTACACATAATCTATTGACATGAAACTAATTCCTAAATTTCGGGAACACATTTTCCTAAAATTTTTATGAAGGAATAACTTCCTAATTTCACATGTATCAATCCCAGTAATTCAAAAACAGAGGCTGTCGAAACAGGGTAACATCTTAACGTCATAGCTAGGACATTTGTCAGTAAAATGGGCATAACTCAAGCTACAAATATCCGTTTGATGTGAAATCAGTTTCTAAATTTCGATAATATAACTTCCTACAACTTTTATGAATAAATCAAGTCCTAGTTTTACACGTATAAATCCTAGAAATTCAAAAACCGAGGCTATTGAAATAGAGAAACATTTTAACGTCACAGCTAGAACACTTGTCAATAAAATAGACATAACTTAAGTTTCGAATATCCATTTGATGTAGTTTCCAAATTTCGGGAACATAATTTCCTACAACTTTTATGAAGACACCAATTCCTAATTCTGTTCACACAAGTCCAAGAATTTCAGTGAACAGTACCTACGAATTAGGGTTCCTAAGGTTTTTAGCTCAACCACTTTTAATCCTCCACTTCAAACATGATTCTAGTATTCTAGGTGTAAAATCACAACAATGAAACCATGATAATACTTTTCTCACTCCATTCAAGCCCAG